CCATGTCTCCTGTCAAGACCACTTCTCTCGATCGGGGCATTTTCCCGGGATCCACTGCGCTCGGGCTCTCCTGCAGCGTGATCTTCTGATAGTTCTGGTAGATGGTCTGCTGCCGGTCTACCCGCCAGGGGCCTTTCGATTGGCACTCGAGACACTTGGACGGCCGCAGATCGGTCTCCTCGGCCACATCCAGAGGCCCGATAGCAAAATTGCACTTGGCACATCGCACCCACAAGCGCCTCACCTGATTGAAGACGTTTGTTCGCTTCGTCGCAACGCCCTTCACCTGGATGAGCTTGTTCATGTGGCGTGAGCAAAGCCCCCGAATGGTGTCTTTCACCGGGAAGCCGCTGATCGCAACCCGAAGCTCATTCTCACCAACGTTGGCCATCGTTTCGTAGGTCTTGAACTTCCGTGCCGCCTGCAGCATCAGCGTCTCGTTCAAGAGTGGCAGGATCTGCCTCGGAGAATCGTAAAGCCACATGGCAAGCGGACCGCTCCACTGTTGCAGGTGATGGAAACTCACCTCCAAATGGGCCTGGTACTCTTCAGCCATCTTCCTGAGGGCATCTGGGTACTTTGGGACGACTTGGCCCTCTGCCACGAACTTGATCAGGAACTGCTGGAAGCACAGCCGGATCTTATCTGCCACACGCTTTTCAACTTCCACGCCGGGAGTAAGCCTCTCTTGGTTGAGGTCGTATTGGCTCTCGTGCACATCTTCGTCTTGGCCGTCCTCATCGTCGTAGTTCTGTGGGCGTTTCCTCTTCTTCGTAGAAGTATCGTCCAAGTCTGATCCACCCCTGGAGCCGCTCACAGGCGAGCTGTTCCAGTCGGAGAGTCGCTTCTTGAAGGGCGTCTCGACGGCAGCCGCTGGGCGTCTTGGTGAGTCTGCGGTGTGGCCCAAGGGCGACCTGCCCGCACGGCCTTCCCTGCGATCTCGCGCCTCCATCTCTCGCTCTGCTGCCAGGCGCGTCGCCATGGTCAGGGGCTCATGTGGGCCATCATCCAGCATCTCCGGATCGTAGTGGTCCTCCTCCGGCTGGTCTCGGTAGTCATCCATCATGTTGTCCCCGAGGAGATC